AGGAACGATATTGTGCTACTAAAAGCAATCCAATATAGTTCAATTAAAACATCACACGCAGGAAAATTAATGAAGGAAGACAAAAGCGTCTTCCTTTAAGATTCAATTGTATCCGTTTTAGACACTAATACCCCTAAAGGATAATCAGACCCTTCAATTCTACGTAAACAAGGAAATATTCCATCACCCTATTTAATTAACTTGTTATAAATACACTTGTAACATCTTCAGATGTGCATGTAATAAAAGTAAGTTTTAATGCGTTATTACTTCTTGTAAATAAAGTATTAACTAACTTATAACTGTACGATTAGAACAATAAATTTTTTGCATTTCTAGTTAGTAATTCAGGATCGAAAAATTAAAATGATGAACTTTCCCTCTAAAATGCTTAAAACAAATGAGGATGTTTTAAAAATTACATCTAAATAAATGGAGTTTACAGCTGTAAAGAATGGTCATATTTAAAAGTTTGAATCTTCTCTAGTTTCAAAAATTAATAACTTACACTATCAATAACTAATGATCTATTAAAGAAACTTGGCCGACCATGCTGTACCTGATTATTGTATGCGCTGATAACTCCAAAACTTAAAAAAAAGCACATTCTGTTACAAGAACGCTTTATTTATAAAAGAACCCTCTTATTATCTTCCTTACTAATAACGACTCATTAGTAAAGCTTACCGTTGATGTTGGTTTGCCTTTCGCAAACAAGAAATGCATTAACGCTGTTCGAGCAACAAATACTCCAGGAGAAAACATTAAATTGTACTTAAATGAACCAAGCAGAACCCAGCATTATGTAGTTACTTTTACGTGTACTCACTGTAATTTTAAAGAAGCTAAAAATGCTCAAAAATGTGGGGGTGAGATATATATATATCTATAGTAGGACCGAGTGGCATTGCCTAGAGGTTTAGACCATTGCTTAGCATTCGGGAAGAGGCCTGTTCGATTCTAGGTCAGTCTGCCTTGGTCCAAGATTTTCTGTGGTTTTCTTGGACCACTTAGGCAAATGCTGGGGCAGTAATATTCCACAGATAATCTTTCATTCTCTTCTGTCTTCATTTCGTCCGTCTCATCTTTCTCACTCGAATCACCACCCACCCATTCCCACGATTCCTGAAAGGAGGCTGATGATGGCCTTCCGCCCTACCTTCCAGCGTTATCCGGAAGGACTGCCCGCTCAAAAGCATTAGTGACTGATGGGAATGAAACACCCAAGTTTTATCTATAGTAGTATAGTTCATACAAAGAGCAACATGCAGTTACAGATTTGGAGCAGTAAGGATAGGGAGGTAATATTTTCTATATCTACATACAGATTAATTATTATCGGACTGAATGTTTGTTGTAATACCTTCTGGGTTAGTTGTTTGAATAGGATTTCAATTGTCAGAAACACTCGTCAAAAGGAAACTAGATTCAGTTAGGAAAACACAATAGGACCGTTCTTAACAAATAGGGAACGTTCTCGCTGTTAATTATTCCGTAAGGATAAGTTCAAATGTTGCTCCCATTCGCCCTGGTTGTTATTTATAGCACAGAATCTAATATCTCAATACGGTTGTAACCGCTTACAGGAAATATGTGCAACTGATATAGTTTCCAATCTTGCAGCATATGCAAGATTTGATACAGTTGGAACACAATAGACCTTGCATGATACAAAGGAACCTGACACTTAAACATTGTAACCGAACAATAGTCGACAAGTTCCTTCAGCAAAATGCCTCTAATTATTTCGTCGAGATAACAAATAATCATGACTGTTGCATTTACCGAATCCACTTTGCTATGTACAATTACATTCGTTAAAAACGAACAAGAAGGGCAACCCGTTATACATCTTAAAGAGAAATCAAGATTCATTGAAAGACTTCCTCTGGCGTATTGTGGGTTTCTGTTCCCATATTCACTTTCCTTGGACAGGACTGTAGATACAGAATGTCTTAAGAAATAACGAAAACCTGAGCTTTGAAACACAAACAGAAATATCTTACGCGATTAGTTAATTAAATACAATTTTAATTACGCGTATTTAATTAAGTCAATTGCCATAAAGCAATCTTTACTAATGACTTAGCGTTTGTATTTTTATTTCCAATAAATAGAAATACATTTTCATGCCTTCCTCTTGTAAACGAAATAAAATTAGGAAGAAGAGAAATCATTTGAAGAATTTTATTGATCAATTATTTTCAGCAATAAACTCGCCAGTATGAAGTAAAATCATGAAATTCGCACCGAATCATCGATCTGTCTTGATATCTAGAAATAACCTCGACGGGTGACGAAACCAATCTAATTTCCAAGACAGAAATACTTCTGACGCCGCTAAATTTAGAATACATCACGGCCCTATCAGCTTTCCGTACATAATAATTACTTTGATTTTGATAAATTATTTAAAACATGCCCGGGAATGACTTTGCAAACAAGCAACAATTAATTTCGAGTTTGTTGCGAAATTAATCATTTAACCTATGCAAATTTGTGTCAGGAGGTTACTTAAGGACTTTAAGGATTATGATTCAACCGTGGTAACAATTAGAGATAGTACGGGTTCTCGGTTTGGATACGGTACCCGGCGGATCCGGCAATTTTTGTTTTGGATCCGATTTCGTTAAGCAAGAATTAATATTTCGTTTGTTTAGTGTTTAAACACCTTGAGACGTTGGTAAGGGTGGTATTTAATAAAAAGCTCGCTAAAAGAAAGATATGAACCATTAATCGTAGTGGTTTTGCTGGATTAATGCTGGGTACACAGTTATCCGTTGCATCTCTACTAACAGTTTATAAAAAGAACTATTTCGGCAGCGTTTCAAGTATGTTCGGTTTTTTGATCTAGATTTCCTTCAGCTTTCTGTACATTTTCTATATTATTTGTAGCGTGATGATGTATTGCTTAAAACTTTTGCCAAAGTACACATTTTCTAGAAAAAAGGAATTTTAATAAAAAGGATTGGAGCTTCGGAAACAAACAAAACAAACTTTACGTTTTTGTACAATAATATTCGTTGGAAGGCGAGTCAAGTTTTAAGCAGTTTGTAACAAAATATGATGGATAATAATACCCTACGAAAAATAACTCGGGTTTTTGTTTAAGGAAAATAAGATTCATCCTTTATTTATTTAGGCTACCTTTTTTATTGCTTTCGACGTCTTACGTCAATTTCTTTTTCTTATATAACAAACAAATTCTATCAGATGCTCATATATGAAAAATGAACATTCTGTGTATGCATTAACAATTTCCCGTAGGCTTGTTCCCTTGCCGACTCAAAATAGCATAGTAATGCGTAACGCAAACGCGTAGGTTTGTCATAATAAGTACAAAGGAGATTTGGGTATTCTCCGATGTAGTTCATCTCATAAGGGAATGAGGGAAAACACAAAAAGAACGAAAGTCGCCTAAGAATAACAGCCGCTAGATCCCCAATGACTTCAAAATTGTTGCAAAAATGTCAGTTTATCTACCAAATTTTAGTATGCTTAGATTTGCAGATGATATAGCAGTATTAGCATTTAGCAAGGAGGACCTAGAGATAGCTTTAAATAAAATGGAAGCGGTACTGACAGATCAGTACTGTATGAAAATAAATAAAAGTAAAACTAAAATACTGGTATGCAAGGGAAGAAAAAGTAGGGAAAGAGCAAATATAAAGATAGTAGACGAAAAATTAGAAGAAGTGGCTGATGTTAGATACCTAGGAAGTCAGATAAGCGAGGATGGAAGGAGTAGTAGGGATATAAAGCAGAGGATAGCGCAGGGTTGTGTCGCCTTTAATAAAAAGAAGTCACTTCTATGCTCGCGAACGGTTAATTTAGAAATTCGAAAAAGGTTGTTAAAGGTGTATGTTTGGAGCACGGCGTTGTACGGGTGCGAAACATGGACAGTGGGAGCGGCGGAAAAGAAAAGGTTAGATGCGTTCGAAATGTGGTGTTATAGGCGGATGATGAGGATATCGTGGGTAGAAAAGGTTAGAAATGAAGAGATACTGGAAAGAATAGGAGAACAGAGGACTCTATGGAAGTCAATAAAAAATAGGCGAGATAGGTTGGTAGGACACCTTCTCAGGCATGAAGGTCTAGTCAGAGACATATTAGAGACAGAAACAGGAGTTAGGAGGGGTAGAGGTAGACCTAGATTAGATTACTGTTCGCAGATAGTTAAGGATGTGGGCTGTTCTAGTTTTAGAGAAATGCGAAGTTTAGCTCAGGATAGGAAAGAGTGGAGGTACGTGTCCAACCAGTCTTAGGACTGATGACCTTATGATGATGATGATGATGATCTACCAAAGGACTTATCAACATCGCCGAGAAAACTAAAAATTTTCTCTGAAAACTGTAAAATAATCAAAAATTCAAATGTTGACTTTTATGAAATAATTTACATTTAAACAACTAAATTCGTTCTAGGTGCAGCAAAAAATAATTCGAATTGTAATCAACTGAAACTAACGTAATAATTAGTGGAAACATTTACCGACAAAATATTTTTTAAATTTTAAGTTACTCATTGATGTCTACCACAAATCATGGTACGGTATCTTTTTCGCTTTTGTGTGGAAAACCGTAATTAATCCCGAAACTAATTGGCCATCAGGATTAGCTTTTACACGGGAAAAGGAACGTGCTTTTCAATTTTATGCTCCTAGTTTTGATTACAGTACATATTGCGCAATTTTGAATTAGTTTCGCAACATAGCTGAAGATATTTTTTCGTCATTCACTAATTTGAATAACGATTTGTATTTCACCCCCAGGGACTGCAGCTAATGAAAGTTTTTAAATGTCGCCTCTAAAAATAAATTCCATCTCATTTCAGGTGAGAATAAAAATTATTCAATCGTAAAATTATATACAGGGTGGCTCATTACCGATTGTACCGATACATATTAACAGTTATGGTTCAACCACGGCATTCGTCCATGTAATATTAAAAATATCGATTGAACTACAAAAGATAGAAGTTTAAAAGTATTGTAACTTACCTTTTCTCCGTATTCTCCTTCGACAGCAACTGTAGAGACATATTTCCACCCTAGGGCGCGTATTATTTCCACCATAGTTTGAGCTTGAAAGTTATCAGGTGGTACAACCCGACTAAAATATTCGAAACGAGATTTATCTGACAGCTCCGTGCTAGTAGAAGCGTAACTTATTTGGGGAATCTGAAATTTAAATTCAAACTGATAGCTGTCACATAACCGACTACTTGCACCTATCTACAACAGAATCTATTCGCAAGTAACAAAAACAAAGGACTTCGTCCAACAAAAATGACGAATAATCAATCGTTTGCAAATCTGCAATCTTTTGTTTTTTTACAATTGTAAAGATTCACTATAACCGGATAACATTCGAATAATTCCAACAATACCGTTCGCATTAGTGAATATGTGTGTGTATGTAATGAAAAACACGTATGCACAAGAAAAATTATTCGTTTTTCCGAACCAGTACAAATCTCGATTAAGCAGTTTTCTCCTAATATTAAACTCCCGGCAAGAACAAAAATAGAACGGAAAATATACATAATAAACTACAGGATTGCCCTGTAATCGTATGAAATTGTTCGTTCAAAAACCGAAATCGAATGGAAAAGCTGAACTCGGTTTTTCAAGTGAATATTAATCTGCGTATAATCCTGTTTCCGCACGTGTTCCTGTTTATTGATTGTATATATAGACGGTGCAAATTTGCTACAAATACTCATTATCTATTCTATACTATACACATTTTGTTTGGTTTCTGCTGATGCACATGTTGTTATTTTTAATTAATTATCAATCTATGTAGGGTTCAACGTACTTTTAGAATGAACAAAACAATAGACAATCGCACGGAACAAAAGGACTAATCTCTATACTGCATTAAAAACAAAAAATTGATATGTAACATCAACGTAATTAACCCACTTTCCTTTATCTATTTTCACAAGTGGCGCCTATCTATAGTACTACCTATACGATGATTGTAAAAATTACAGTTCAGTTATGATGTGCTTAAGAAAGCTTTCTTGAAGCTTATTCATTCTACCATGTAGATAGAACTCATTATATGCATCTGTATAATGTAACTATAACCTCCGTATAGGTATGCATATTTCAAGTACGTATTGTATGAAAATATTCTATTTATATTTGCTTCGAATAAGAATGGATAAATATTTTGAATAGGTTACGTAAAGAGGAGAGATATGATAATATGAAAAGTGCCCTGCGTCAGACGACAAAAACGTCTTGTCGCACTGAAATTTCCCGCAAAAGATATTTTGCAAAGTTTCTGGTAAACAATATTTTACTGATCAAACACGGAAATAGATGCGCGTAGTCATCAAATAGTCATTAGTAAAACCGATCCGGAATTACACAAAGTACGAGAACCCACAGGTAGACTATTCAATCCGGTAATTTGTACGTTAAAATTAAAACGGTTAAGGTAATTGGAAACAACTAACGAAAATAATTATGATAATTCGCTAGGCAACATTAGAGAAAATGCAAAGAAAATTAAATTTTTTGTCTCAACTCTGAATCGTGTTTATTACAAGTGAAAATTATTTTATCTGGGTGAGAAGCTGACTTTAATAACACTTAATGGTACCAAAGGATGCTATGTAATCGCCTAAATCTTAATGGTACATAAATTTTAAGTTCAATTGTCTTAAAGTAAAATGATTACCTTAAAGAGCCGAAGGATGTTAGCTACCATAATGGACACGACGCTGAAGGAAGCACCAATAACCGCAGTAACTGGTTTATGGGGTACATAAACCGGCGGTTTTCCTGAATCACACTTGTATTCCGACATGTCCTGTAATAAATTTTCTAAATTAGAACTTCGTTTCAACTGAGATAGCATCAGCTCAGTACATTTAAATAACGAATAACTAACATTAAATTTATTATTATCTACGTAGAACATTAGAATGGTTGAAATTATTTATTTTTATTGTCAGCGGTCATAAAATTTGTTGTTTGAACTAAAGGAAATAAGTAGCTAATAGGTGTATCATGCAAAGAAGTAAAGATAACGATCAAACTCGAACTATTTTACTTTGAATTTCATGCTTTTTGTTCCATAAGAATACAAAAAGAAAAGAAATGCACAAATAAAACTAAAAAATCATAAATTAACAGCAAAAAAGACTACTACATCGGTTGATAATAGAGTCCATGTAAGTATGTTTAAATGAAGAAGGCAATGTCGAGTATTGGTGCAAGCGGACAACGAGTTGTTCTTTATTTATTTTGAACTGAGTTTACCCTCAAGCTACCCCAAGAGATGTTTCCCATCAAAAAAGGGCAAAGAACGAGAAATTAAACTTTCAATAAACTTAAGTTTACCGTTGGACAAGTGCAATGGAAGAAAATAGGAAGTAAATGTCAAGTACAGCGTTCCACCGATACGACGGCCAAGTAAAATTGCCTTTCCACAAATATTTAGATAAAATATCGACAAATTCTAAAAGAAAATTTCACGTTGATGAGCTTCTTGGTTGTTCGTTCTAAATTAGTAGTATCGGGTGAACAACTTTTAATTAAGTTAGTTTACGAAACAATTTGTTCCGCAAAATTGCACGTAGTAATGTGTCACTCACTGTCTAATACTGTTCTTAGATTTTGCATCAGTCACATTTCACTGGATTTAAAAAAAGTCGAACATCTTAACAATTGAACTTGCTGAGGTTTTACTGTTATGAAAAAATCGTAGAGGTCCTCGCAGTTGTGAAAATTACAACCCCAGGCACGGCTTAGACGGCGCCAAAAACAAAAAAATGCAAAAAGAAAAGTCGTAAATGATTCACGGAATTGAATAGACGGCCTCCCGTCTATGGTACAAAACGTTATATCTGGTCGTTGATAGACCATTTTTTACCATGACCTTTTTCTTATTATAAGGTCAAATTTCCGTTCCGTTATTTGCATATATATAAAATAGATATAGATACACAAACCCAAATCGATTTTGAAATATTTCCTTTAATAGTAACGATTTATTTCCCACAGTTTGCCTAAATATTCATATCTTCTGCCTTAAGGTAAAAAAGCTATAAACTTATATGTCTACAAGCGTTTCTGTTTTCAGATTAAATCTTTCTTACGGCTTCCTCAAGGATATTAAGTATAAAGTACTCTCATAAAGCCCGAAAATGTTAAAATAAAGTTCAAAAGATTCATAAATCAGTCACAAAATCAGCACTATTCGTTTTTATGCACGCTTTTAAATAAATTTTATTCCTATGTCATCAAATTCTGCCATTTTCGGGACAGATTTACAGTTTACAATAACAAATTGCGATATTTTCTCTTCAAATTGAATTTCTAATTCATTCTCAACAATACAAAGGTAATCACACCGATTGAACATTAAATCGTAACATCATTGGCAATGGCTGTGAAAAACGCTCTGAGTAAAACATGTGCACATGAATGGAGCGAACTAGTCGTTGTTGAAATTCAAAATAGACATGAAATAAACTTGAAGCTTATGCCATTTCGCTAAAATGAAAATAACCTGAATTAGAAAGGTGTCATGTACAGCAAAACTGAAAAAGATTTTCACAACTGATTGACCGAATCTTCACATTCTCCAAAATGTTTCATTTTATATTCTTTTTCAACCTTCGATAAAACGTGTTCTAAATCGAAACCTTAAATAAAGAAAATGCATAGATTTCCCGTCAATAAACAATAAAATAATTAAATAAAATAATTCGAAGTGGTCTGTATTCTGTCGAAACTGCCAGACGCGGGTCGCGATTTCGATCTTTTTGGATCTCATCAGCGCGTCGCAGGCAGCTCCGAACTTTTACCTGTTGTCTTAACAGTGCGTTTCAGAAAATACTACAAACGGCACAGTAAACGCCATCTGTAGGACGATGCTACATTTTAGGATTACGTATTTTTCAACAAGGTCCACTTGTGTGGATATCTACTTGCTGAAAACGAATCCTGGTGTAGCCAACCTCAACGTGATAGGCACGTTAGCTTAATCGAATAAAATAATTCGAAGTGGCCTGTATTCTGTCGAAACTGCCAGACGCGGATCGCGATTTCGATTTTTATGGATCTCATCAGCGCGCCGCAGGCAGCTCCGACAGAACACAGACCAACATTTACCTGTTGTCTTAACAGTGCGTTCAAGAAAATTTCAATAAAATAGTTAATAATGTTTTGTAACTTGTGAAGAAGTCACAATGTAGCGAAACGTTTGTTATGTTAACTAACAATAGAATTACGTATTTTAATTTTAAATGTAGACTGAATTTCCAACAAGTAAAAATGTGTTCATATATGTGGCAATATACAGTCAGATAAATTTTTATCTTTAGCTATTCTAATCACGCTTGGTCACAAAAAATTCAAATTTGGGTCAAATGTCCAGATTAGGTAGGTAATTGTTTTATGGTTCTGGGCGAAACGTTTTAATTGTTATCGGCAAGCATCGCCTAAAAGTAAATTAGATTTTCATGCAAATAAGATTTTATGTTCTACTACTTTTTACAATTCGCACAAGTTGAATGAGAATTTAACGCTCCGAAAGGGTTTACTTGGGGGAATTTTAATCCCGGTCTCACCCCCATACAGGTATTGTATTTCTGTTTTCTTAGTTTCGCATGACGGTTTCGTATTTCTGGCTCTGTTAAAAGTGTTTTCACTTTTCCTCTGATATCTAATTAAGGGGACACTTGGCCCATTTCGTCCACTATGTGAAACTCGAAAGGGAATTTTAAGAAAAGTTGAGTAGAACATTTTTCAACTTTGACATCAACTTCTTTTTACTGCGCGACAGCCAAACGAAACGTTATTTTCACTTCCATTAAAACTTTTTAACTTAAAATTAGACACCTAAATGGTTTCTTATGGCTTTCTATAATCGAACCAATTATACCTGCATATGATATATCGCAAACAGAAATAAATTCGAGGCAAAAAGAACAAAATTTTCTGCGAGAAAAACATTCTTCTGATTATTATTCAAACCATTAGGTGATTTTACAATTAATATCTGTCTAAAACGAAGTTGTAATAAAGACAAGCCAAAAGGCACAAGAATACTTCAAAATCGATCGATGTCTAAATGGTTTTCCACTCTATGCACAAGCGGTAATGTTGCATTAAATCAAATCAGAAGATTAACCATTAGAATAGTTGTGGAAAAATGCTAACTCATCTCGGACAGAAAAGACACACCAATCAAATCTGTAAACCGAATAAAATATATTAATAATACTTTGTGCAATAAAACTTTTTTATTCTTAGTTTTTAAATAAACAGGCTATCAACTGGCTGGTTTTTCACCAACTGCCACATCTCCTTTGTGTCAATTATTTTAACGAGCCAACGACATTGAAGTGCTTGGTCCTTTTCAAGGATTATATTAGAGATACACATTAATGTTTCGGAATCCCCGGCCCGTTTATATAATCATCGGCGACACTTGTACTACGTTATATTTTGATATAACGAAGCTTATTACAAATTTGAAATTAAAAAGAAAACTTAAGCGCTTGCTCGCTTTATTTTCTGTGAGAAAATGGTTCATAAAAAGAGAAACATAAAATTATATTTAATCCGTAGAATTATTGGACTTATTCCGACCACTTTTCCTGACCTATCAATTCAGTTTATTGTACATTTATCCAGAGTACACAGTGCGTTATATAGAAGTCCATTATCTAGCCAAAGAATTTCGTTTTTCTGAGGCGCCTCCTGATCGATGTAACTTTTGAGGCGATGACAGATGTGACACGTTCGACACGATCCAATTCTCCTCGATACTCGCTTGAAGAATAAGACAGAAATATTTCCGCAAACAACAAGTTATCTAACAATTTCAAAACTAATTAACAATACTTACCGCGGCAGTTATAATTCTCCTGTCTCTTTTCACCTTGTTCGCTTAATTTTATTACCCTACTTAATCATCTGCATCTGGTGACACCTTCTGTCCACATATTCATTGAAAACTAAGCGTTAGTGTTTAATTGAAACATTATTTAATAATTAATATCAAAAATTGTTAGCTTCAGCGAGAAAACTATACCTATTAGACAAAGCTTCTATGAAAGATATCAAAAAATTTAAGTGAGAGAGCAACTGCAATCTTCATGATGATACTGCCACCGGTTAATAATAATTAAATCGGCAATAAATTAATTCGTAAAATCTCCGATCGAAATTGAATATACAGCAAGTAGTTTTTGGTATCTTACATTGCCTCTTCCCCATCGAAATTGAATTAATTACATCGAATAAGTAACGAAGAATAATTCAAAGGAATAAATTGAGTTTAATCTACTTAATAATGAACATTTGAACACAAACGAAGTAGATTAGACATTTAACAAGGAATATAAATGTAAATTTGCCTAGCTATAAACATTTAAATTAATCATCAAACATAAAAAGCTATCGCACAACCGTTAAAGCAGAAGTGAGATGTAACATTTAAAATCATTTTTGCGATATCTACAACGTCTGGACGTACAATTAAAAGGTATGACATTCCCCAGGAACAGTATTTTCTCTGGGTAAAAGGTACCTACCCTATGTCCTTTTGTACAAAATTTCATGATGATCGATTGAGTAGTTAAGGGGTGAAATCGTAATAAACAAACTAATATTCGCATAATTTATAATATTACTTAGTATATTTACGTTAACGATTTTGTTCGGCCGCATTTTGCACTTAAAAGTCAGTTTGCGAGACGCCAGCAACTAAATTTTGGCAAAGGAGCTATACCTTTGATAGAATCTTATTCAAAATAGGTAGCTTCCCGGAGGACCCGCGGGAATTACTACGTCAGCAGCAGTTCTCGAGAATGTGACACCCTTATTTGAAATGATAAACGATTACAATCGACTATCCATTCTAACAAATGATAAAGAACAAGCTCAGCATTGAACTCATGATAATGTATAAGAAATAAATATTTTTCCCGGCGCCTTCGCCATTTTTATAAAAATTTAACATATAAGTGAAGTATCATTAATTCCTTCAAACAACTAAATAAAATAATAGGGTTTTGCGAGTAAATTGTATTGCCTGATTTCTGGACCATTAAACAAAAATACGTTCTAAAACATTCAACGCCGAGCGATTTGTGTACCTTTGGAAAATGCGAAACTTTGTAAAGACCAGAGAAGGATATACTAAGTAACGATTTCTCTGACTAAAGCCGCGCTCGGATTAATCAATTTAATAAAACTTACAACACGTTTCCAATCCACTTTTCAATTTAGAATGGAGTTTGAACATCATTAACCCCGTTGAGGTAAAGTGCGAAATGTTTGTCGACTGCAAAACACAAGGTGGTTTCTCAGGAATCCATTTTCCCACTTTCATCCCAGGATTAATTGTACAACCCATAGCACCGCGAAATGGTACAAAGCATTGAGAAATTATAGTTCTTTGTTGCCTACTGTTTTTGATCGTATTATACTACCTGGTGTATATAGTAAGGTATAATTGAAATTCTTTTATGCTTGACTAACCGCAGATTTCTGCCGTTGGCAGGAACGAACTCCACTGCTTTCTACCAAAACCTATACATCACATCCACTTGCTTTATTTCCTAACTTAATAATAATTTTATAAATTCCTCTTTCGGTAGGAGGTTTAGAACCGAAACAAAAGCGACAATTACCCACAAACACGTTTGTTGCAATCTACATTTATTAATTGCTTGGTGTTTTTTTAAAAACTACATTTCGGGATAAATACATCTTTTAAAATAATTCGAAGTGATCTGTATTCTGTCGAAACTGCCAGACGGGGATCGCGATTTCGATCTTTTTTGGATCTCATCAGCGCGTCGCAGGTAGCTCCGAAAGAACACAGACCGACTTTTACCTGCTGTCTTAAGAGTGCGTTTTAGAAAATACTACAAATGGCGCAGTAAACGCCATCTGTAGCACGATGCTACATTAGCTAACGTTAGCTAACGTGCCTATCACGTTGAGGTTGGCTACGCCGGGATTCGTTTTCAGCAAGTAGATATCCACACAAGGAGCATACGTAATCCTAAAATGTAGCATCGTGCTACAGATGGCGTTTACTGCGCCATTTGTAGTATTTTCTAAATAAATCTTTGTTCTAATTTCCTCTACCAGCAAACAAGTTACAAGAAAGAAAAACACTTCCTTTCTGGCAGAAATCAAAAGGTTCCTGTCAGTTATTTGGACCTTTTATTTGAATTGCAATCCGATAAGGATAATAGATTCCCCAAAAACATTAGCCGAGACAGTTGAGCCATATTTTGCTTGCTAAAGTAACATTTCATCCGCTGACGAAATAGAATTGAATATACACAACATAAAATTTACATGAGAAAGAAAAGAAGGGATGAATACCGAAACTTTCTCGAAATATACTTCGTGAAGAGAAACCATATACTACAGACATTAGATAAATATAAAACTATAGATACAGTAGAATATGAAGAAATCTAAATTTATTGTACTGGCCTGTTAATGTCAACTTAGAGGTTCTTTGTGACTTCTCGCCCGCAAATTATTGTAATGTTAATCTTTAGAGTTTATAAATAATTAATTAAGGAATGAAATTAGTAATTCATGCATTCTAAAAGAAGATCAACAGTGCCTTTATTTCAGCAAAAATAAAAGAGTATTCTGGTTTAGTGGTGAATGCTTTCAGAAAATTGACATTTAAATTTCGTTAGCAATTCCACGTTTTTTTTTATCTCACTACCGTTCCTAATCCTACATATATATATATATATATCGGTTGAAGTTAGTTCAGCAAAAAGCATTTAGAACACAGAAACGAAAAAATTCAGACACGATAAAAAATTAACAGCCTACAACACTCTATTTCCTTGTTCTTCTTCAGTTTGTTTGCCAACGTAATTACAAAGATAAAAAGGGAATAAACCTTTGAAACTTGATGCAGAGTTTTTGTCCAAGTGATAATATCTTCGTAAAACCACCTGCGAGACCATCAAACAGCAAATAAATATTGCAATTTTCAAGAATCACAAACTTCCTTTTTAATTTACAATTCTACGAAGAATACCAATATTTACTTTTGAAACAATTAGGAAGTTTAATAAACAACATTATTTTCATCTCGTCTCGTTCAGGGAAAGTTTTTGTTGTTCTAAAGTAATGAAATTTCTTGCTACTAATGGTATAAGTAATTTGTAAACTGATTGATTTTAGAGGAAATAAAATTCTTAAAGTTATTACTTAGTTGGCATTTCAAAGGAGAAGAAAATATAAGAAGCATCTAGTAGTTTCCACTTTAAGATCGTATAAGTTGAAAACAAAATTAAAAAGGCTGCCAAAGTTCAAACCAGAAATTTCTTACCAAGTAAGTACTACAGCAAAATAAATTTAATGAAAAACTTTTTAATATAATTTAAATTAAAGCGAATGCAACGTATTATATTCTGGTAATGACTTCTAAACAAAATTTGATTAAACCATTTGTTGTTTAAGCTTAAATTGATTTCATCAAGAAATTTTTCTAAAGGTAGTTTAGTTCCGGAGGTAACATTAAGGCGATTTATAACTTAAACCCTTTCATTTTCATGAACATTTTAAAATTATTCATACGTTAGTTTCATAATAAGAACTAACTCGACAAACTACTGCAAAACTCTTCGTAAGTAATTAAAATCGCTTTGGTACTTGGAATTCTTCTAATAAATTCTTTATCATATCTGATAAGGGAAATTCCTGATTCTAAAATAAGGAAAATAACATTGCTGGAGAATGTTAACATATGTCACCAGACCAAATCGTTTAAGATTAGCCGAAATATTCACGAAATAGAAGGTTATTGTCATCAATGAACAGTTAATCCATGCGGATGTTCAAAGGAAACTTGGAAAATTTTAGAAAGCAGCTTATTTTTATCCTTGTTAGTAATAGAAGAAGGATGAGGTGTATCGACCAGTCAGGAAAAACAGCAACGGATGCTAAATTCTGCGTCCGAAAAAAAATAAAACAAGCGTACAAAATTAACAATTCATTTCAGCAGTTTTTAGTTTTACATGTTGCAAACGAAAAATTAGCTTTGTTCTCTGAAATAATTGAAATGCATGAACCGAAATTAAAAAATGTCAAAACTCGTGCACTTGAAATTTAAATTACTCGATAGCGAATAAAATTAGTCAGTTTTTTACAACATGAGATGAACCATTTTACATTACATATGAATTTAACGCGATCGAAACGCCAAACGTTTTCATTTCTCTGAAATACACATTATTTTCGATGCATGTTTCTGATGACGTCTATTACCATATATATAGAATGTTTTTCCATCAAGAACCCTATTTTATGCAAAATGCTGCATCAAAACTACCCAACTCGCAAATTAAAACGAATATTATTTAGGAGTGCACTTTCAAAAATTAATATACTTTGAGAGCCACTACTACAACGGCGGAAGAAGAAAACCGTCAACGTTGAGAGAATCATTTTTCACTATTACATTTATCAATTATTTTCACACTTCCTCTAAAAGATCCATTATCTCCTAAACAATTTGCTTCTTCGTTTATAGTCCGCTGTTCCATTTGTCATCTTTCATGTTTGACAGGCACCTCATGGGAGTGCTGCATATCGTGGTTACATTACCACTTTATTTAAACTTTGCAATAAATCATGCGATAACATTTTTCATAAAGGTTTTCTTGTGCCATGAGCTTTTCAAACAAGAAAACTCGGTGTTGTTTGCAATATATCAAAATTCGCGTTCGCGGCAGTGCGGATTATATGCATATATATATATATATATATATATATACATATGTACGTAAAAGAAAGACTTAATTTGAATTATCACAATTTCAAATTAAAAATCTTTCCATGTTTCGTGGAAGTTATTTAAGAAAATGTAAACCGACGGAACGTGATGGGAAAGCTCGGTAATGCCGCGCTGAGAATGGACACAATTTAAATAAAAAAAGGTAGATTGTATTTCATTTTGGAATAAATATTCCCGAATAATTAACTTTCTCCCCCATTAAAATCATAACTAAAATTACCGAAAATGGCAATAACGTTTTTAGCTGTTATTGAAACGGTAAGTCATTAAAAATTTAATAACTTCCTTTAAAGAATTCGCATAATAAATTCCGAACCTACAAAGAGCATTTTAAACAACTGTTAGATGTATAAATAGGCATTTTGTAAAAAAAATGTTTTATATGGACGAAAGCTCCTAATGAAACCGTTTAGTACCTATGTATTTTCTTGACGGTGTTACCATTTCAGAGAAAAGCTTAATCAACCTGTCTCCAGGTATTAAAGCACTCAGGGTGTAAATTTTAAATATTAAAAGGGATTTTCTTCGCCCTTTGGCTAAACTTTTAACTTCTTGCTGTTTCACGAGCCTATTTAAGTTGAACTACTCGTAATCATGTTAATGAATGAAAGCATTTATTATAAATAGAAAGTTCACCGAGTTTTCAAGTTTGACAATAAACATGTTAAAATAATATCTAAATATACCAACAATAAGTTAGTTGAAATAGTTTTTATCTATAATAATGAAATTGCTAGATGCTAAATTATTACAAACAAAGGGTGAACAAATATAAGATGATTAAAATGCGTATGTTCTTGTTACAAGCTGCGATTTCTTGTTCTAAAAGCGATAAAAAGTGCAAATAATAAGGGATAAAACGCTAAGACATGTACTACATTTGAATCTTGCCTGGTTCATATAAGAGCGAACAAATTCCATGGATTGCTCGAGTGCGTAAGTGTCACTGCTGCAAGAGTCAATTATTAGTGCACCAAGACTAACGTTGGGCAAAAGAGTGGTGCTGTTGTTGATTTCTTCGAGGGCAAAGAGCATAGCTTCTAGTCTTTGCATTCCCTTTTCCTCTTTAACAGCCCCGCATGGGTAATCTGGAGGCCAAGATACCTGTTCGTGCATCGGGAATATGCCCCCGAAAATAATGTCACCGGTTATTCTTATCAACTTCCTCTCGACCTCCGCATTTCCATATACTGACATGAACGTAAGCGTAAGAATTATTCCTACTCTCATCATCATCGTCATGTCTTCTTTCGGTCTCTTCTTTAGTTTGTCAAAACTTTTCGGAGTAGGAAAAAGTTATCGGACTCCAGTTTGGTTTTGTTCAAAAGACATTGTGAGATTGGTCTGATCAGATTTTTCTGAATGAAACTGTCCACGAATTTGGCTATCATGTTTTGGAAAAAAAAGTTCAAGACAAAATTTAATGATTCGTGGTGCAACGGACTGACTTTGGAAATTTGTATCAAGTCGACGTATACATTTCGCGTATTTTGGAGCTCACCGTGAGCCATAGTAAACTAGTTGTTCTTCAAAGTGAATTGGATATTTAGAGGGCTATCCGGCACCTGCGTAAAGCGCCCTCCTGTTGTCATAGAGATGGTCTGAGAGTTCCGACGCCACCATCCTACGACGTCGCACATACATCTATATATATTTACGTATATGCCCTTCTGCTAAATTTTCGAAAAAGTTGCAACAACTACAAGAAATCACTTCCGCACACTTAGCAAATACAAACGTCTTTCTGCCAAGTGGACGCTAAGGGGTAACAAACGCCGGGAAAACTCTTTAACTGGTTCGAAATTTTCCAGCGAAATGCGCTCGACTGCAACAAACCAAATTGTTCATCTGCAAGTATCTTCCAATTCGAACTAATAAGACCAATCAATTTTTAAATCAAAATAAAACCAATTATTATACACAAATATAAATGTAGATAATAATTTGTCATTCAGTCTACACAGGCCTGGCCCCTTTGTTGATAACTGATTTCCTAATAATTTTTGCATGTACTGATAGTGAGAACATTAGCAAATTAATATTTATGAACTGTATAAGTCGATAAATCGTCTACCAAATCGAAGAGAGTTGATGTAATATCTCGTTATGACAGTATGAGTCCATCTAGCAGCTTGTCCAAGTGAATTTGTTTAAAAATTTTGCGTTCTTAATTTATTACTGAATTAAAATAGAGTTTGTTGAACCGTTTCTTTGGTATTTAATTTATTCTTGTTGCAAATAGCTTTTTTAATTTAGACATGAAACATCAAAAGGTAGATTAATATTATTTTCTTCCATTTTCCGTCGAGTCCATAAATATGAAATGTTTTTCACTTAAATTAGTACTTCAATTTTCTGATTTGATTACGGAAATACTTTTTTTATTCCAGTTATTAATCAGTTCTAAATTTAGCAAACAAAGACTTTATGTCAAATTCCTTCGAAATGAAGATAATAACCATTCATTTTTAAACCAGGAGGAAGAGGATAATTTGAGAAAATCTGAAATGTGTTAGCTAACAAGAAAAACGAATACTTGAATTTTATTTGTTGTTTGAACCTGACGTAGATAACAAGATCCTCGAGCTTTTTTCTCAGCCGATCCTTTGAGATTTAATTTACTCCCAATGAAACGAAAATCTTCTTGAAAAACGGAGACATTACAGGTGGAAACTACACAAACGTAAAAAGTTTAAATGCTCATTTTGCTAACATTACGTGTAAATATAAAGTAAAAGAAAGTCGATTCGTTGAAGGGATGAACTTAGACAGTTTCTCATTCATCTTTTTGTTTCAATCACTTTGACTTTTATGGCTAAAAGAAGTTGAATTTAGGAAAATTTATATACGTCTCATGAAAAGATTGTCACTCAAGAAAAACGAGAAATAAACGAGATTATTCTAAATATGGATACACAAATAGCTACCAGAAAATTTATATTAAAAATTACTTTCATACAGCAAACACTCGAAAAAGATGTTTATATCTAGAAGAGTTTTTAAAAGGTAATTGTAAAAGATTGTCCTTGCTGACTTGAAGCTCTCAAAACGGCTACCTAGAGGCTATAATTTACTAAGGACTACAAAGGTATTTCCAGCAGTATTCAACGAAGTATTTTATACCGTTATCACTCGTTTTTTTTTTTCAGGTTGCCTCCCCAAAAAAGATTTATTGGTTAAGGTCCTTTGAAGGAACCTCTTATATAGCGAATTAAAACGAACGCTTACCCAACGGTACAAATGTTTTGTAAAAAGAAGAAACAAACAATAAAATCACATAGCAGCTACAATTTTATTTTGTTTATATTCACAAAAGGATTTAAGTACATAAAAAAATTACTTTATTTTAATAACAGTCTAAAATCTTCACCTTTTAAAATTTCATTTAAACAGAAACAATCCATCTACATGTAATATATGTGAGACCAAACATTCATTTGTAGAAGAACATTTTATATTAAACCAGTTAATAGACAAACCGGACTTTATTTGACAGTAACACAGGTGCGTTCAAATCATAAGGATTATAAAGGATACAAGTTTCCTCGAGTATTTATATTAATATTACACAAGGGGGGTACGAATGAAACAGTTAATTAGTCAATAACGTCTATCAATGTGTCTATTTAGTTTTAGAAATCCTAATTATGTATTTACACAGGATTTAACTCGATAACCAAAATTAATTTCGACCGACAAAACTTTTTAAATAATTTTGCGCATTGTTGGCTGCATAAAGAAGGCGATACTAAAATATTTATTTAATTCATCATGGAGCTATGTGGAAAATACGCTAAAAAGAAAAGAATTGTTTTATATTTTGGAATAATGATGGGCAATCAACCGGGTCCCATATACCGCTTATACATACGTATGTCGCACATACATACATTGCCCTATATACGAGGGTGGATTGATAAGTTTCCGGCCTAACCAAGAGATGACGCCACTAGGCCTACCTTGAGGTGACATTCTATAGTACCATCCTTGGATAGCTTGTAGCTATAGTTTCAGCCCGATCTCCTTGCTAGTGTAGGTTTGACAGCACGCTGAACAAGACGCCTCTGTGGTTTTCGTAAAAATGGAAAAGCAGG